ATTCAAAACCAAATTAATAATGACGAAATAGAAAAGACCATAAATATCAAGGATTTAATTATAAAATTTTAAATTACAGAGAAAAAGATAACAAAATAAACCGAATCATAATAATAAAAACCAAATCAAGGTATTGTAATTCTTTCGAAGGAAAACATATTATATAATGCTTCTCATATATAACCATAATGAATGCTAACAAGATTATTTGAGACACCAAGTAGGCCACAATATAGGAAGGGGACTACATAATACATACATATATATGTATATGTATATGTATATGTATTGTTATTTTCGGTATGGACTGTAAAGTAAGGCCACTGGAAGACCCTACCACACCCACCCATTAATGTTGGCAGTTTGCTTTCCTTAGTTCACACATACACAAATGTCAGGATATTTTTTCAGTGCCAAAAAAAAATCAGGATATTTCTGCCTCATGGCTCCCACATCATAAGTATTGTAACTTAATTTACAGGGAAAATTGTGAAAAAGTACTGCCTAAGGTTGGCTAATAGTTGTTTAAGGACTCTTGTGCAATTTATCTTTAGTTGGTGGAACTTTTCTTCAACTGTGTCCAACTATTTTTTACTATATATACACACACATATATGCACAGAGCTGAAAATATGTTGTAACTTTGCCAAGAAATATCGAGCTTGCACCGATTGAAGATGATTTGCAACCACGGACACGGTTTCTAAAATACCTTTGGACAAATTATTTTCCAATAAGTAATGTTTCAGCAATTTTTTCTTTTTTTTTTTAAATTTTAATCCCTCTACAAACATACAAAACTACTTAGTGAACTCCCTTCGATTAGTTAACCCGCTTAAATTCTTAACATAGAATTAGATATCTAACTTATATAAATTAAAAAAATTAGTTAAGTTAAATAATTGTATGTATTGCATGAAATTTCAAGATAAATAGTACTACTTACAGCCTTAATATAAGAAATAGTTGAAAATTAGATTTAATCCTAAATATAAGATATTAATCCATTGTCTCTCAAATTTATAATGTTTTTCTAAAATATTTTTACTGATTATAAAGGGTTTCTACTAAAGGATAATGCCTATGTACATGATTAAAAATAATAGTTTAGGAAAGTTAGCACACATTTGTTACAATTAACTAACTAAATTAATTTTCTTAATATCCTCAAATTAGTTATCTAGCTCTTATATTAAGAACCGGAAGTAGTAGTAGCATTATAATTAATAAACATGAGGATCTGTTTTCTATATTTTGCATTTAGTGATAATGATGATATAATGCAGGATTTGTTGGGAGAGGGAGCTAGAGAAATTGCAGTGGTAGGGCTTCCTCCAATGGGATGCTTACCAATTATGATGACTCTGAACAGCTTTGGTGGCGAAAGAAGCTGCATCGATAAGTATTCCTTAATTGCAAGAAATTACAACCAAATGCTCCAACGTGAATTGCAACTAATGCAACAACGTTTTTCCAATTCTGGTGCTCATTTCTACTACGTTGACATTTATGGCCCTTTGGCTGATATGATCCAAGCTCCTCATAAATATGGTTAGTACTCCATTGGCTCTTTGCTTTTTCACATTATTGTGTGCGGTGCATATTACTCCATCAATTCCTAAACTATTGTCATAAAATGTATAGGCTAAATGATCCATATAAATTAAAACAATTAGTTAAGTTGATTATTTATAAATATATATATGGATTTTTCTAAATTAACCCTTTCTGAAAACTACCTTTATTGAGTATGATATCTGCAATCAGTAGAGTTAATTTAGCGAAAAATAAAATGTGAAACATAAAGGAGACTGAAACTCAAAACTTATTTGGATTAACATTTGTAAAAGTAACTTTTATTTTAATTACATTTTACAAACCAAATTTAGGATAAAAGTCAATTAGAATAGTGTTGCAACCCCAAAAGGTCCAACAAATTGCCTTTTAGATGTAATGTGGATTTTAGAAAAGAAATTATTTGGCTCCAATGCCAATCCAAACATCATTTTTAGAATCAAATTGGCCTTTGGAATTACAAAAGACAATCCAAATAAACATTCACATTTAGGACCAAAACAAACATCTTAATTAACTCCTACATTTATGACTGACAAGTATATTAATTTATTTACAAATATTTAAATTATGAATAATTTAATTCATTTCTCAAATTCTGTTTACAACACCACTAGCCAACACAAATATGGTTTTATAAACATGTCATTGATTTTGTGTTTTTGCTGGGGAACATGAACAGGTTTTGATGAGGTAAATAATGGGTGTTGTGGGAGTGGTTACGTTGAGACATCATTTTTGTGTAACGACAAATTGCCGGTGTGTTCTGATGCTTCAAAGTACGTGTTCTGGGATTCTATACACCCCACAGATAAGGCCTATCACTACATCTTCTTGGCTGCCCAATCCACCGTTGATTTCATCCTCCAACGCCTCCAACAACGACATTAACTTCCATTTCTTTCCCCTTCTGTTCTTGTTGCTTAATATTATATGGCCTGTAATTATTGGGTCATATCCTCATGGAAGTGGTTTGACTGTAATATATAAAGATTATAAGGAAAATATGTACTTTCTATTGACAGAATAAAAGAATTTGCATTTCCCCAGTTGAGTTGAGTAAGTTTACACCGTTGTCAAGGATCTGTTTCGCCATACATAGGAATTTTAGTGCAAAAACCGTACATGATTGATGAGGAATTGGAGTATTGTGAAGGAAAAAAAAAGAGAAAAAAGGGAAGAGAAGAGGCACTTCCGCTATATAAAATTACTTGGATTATTAACATTAGGGGGCGTTTGGCAATTGTAAGAAGTGCTTTTTAAAAAATACTTTTTCGCAAATCAAGATAAACTCTTTCATATATTTACTCTATATACTGTAAAATTACTTCCCAAACCATGATTTGATTTCCATCCAAACATCCTCTAATTCTCCTAGGAGAATTACAATGAGATTTCAGGAAAAGAAAATAGTTATTAAATAGTTCCAATAATAACTTAAACAGTCAGTAATAACAAATTTTAAAATAAGAAATGATAATTTTTAGGACTTATTTTGTAATTTGTAATTGTTTTTCTTTCTTGGAATCTCATTGTAATTCTCCCTACAATTAAACTCAGTAATAGTTTTATGGTTTAAGAGAATTATTTTTTATTAAAATACGACGCTGTCTCTAATAAGATGAAAATTTGACATTCAATAGATACCAAGGAAAGTAGCTAATGCTAGACTGCTAGTTCAAACCTAAAATGTTTTTCTTCCTTCCAATTCTGCCTTTAATTGAATTTAATGATTCCCATGAAAAAATCTCTTCCTTTCATGATGGTTTAATCATTTGTTAGGGGCATATTAAGGAAACAATAAACATTTATTAATTCTTCCTAAAAATTCATAAACGGTCTTATAATTAGGGGCACTCTAGCCTTCAAAACTGGATCTTACAATTAGAGACAGGGGAAGTATAATCTAAACATAACACAATCACGCACGCACATAATTAACCTCAGTAGCTTTAAGACAGGAAAGAAAAGGGCTCGCACACGTCCCATGTTCAATGATAATCTGATTCTGTAAGTGGAAGCAAACGCTGAGGAGGTAGAGGTGGTGTTGTACTCTGGTGATGCGTTTGGACATAAACTCAGTGATTTGGGGGGGAAAAAAAAAGACTCTTGATTTATTTCTCTCAAAATGTAGATACGAAGGTTGAAAGGCGGATAATATGCGAGCAAAGTGGGTTCAGACAGCTAGATGAATTGGGAAAGTACTTGAACTTGGGTGCAATGCTCTGCAACACCAGGTCGTCAAGGCAGAAACAGAGAGGGTGGAAAACTAATTGTCTTTCATTCGTTGTCACGACCAGAGGATGCAATACTTGAGTATATTGGGAGCTTGAGGATAGAAAGAGACTATAGATGAATGGCTGGACAGAAGAAAGCTGATTTTGATTAGCTAGATTAAACCAAAGGATCATTTGGGTTAAGGTGACTGCAAATGGAGCCACACAATTGAAGGGTGGCCATGCCTATTGCAACACTGATTAGTGGGGCCAAGGTGAATGGCTTATTGGTTTTCCACAGGACCTGGGCATTTGTAACAGTCACTCTGCAGAACTAATGGGCTGTGTTGGATTAAACAGGTGCAAGAAGATTTGAATTTAGCTACGGCAATGGGGATCCAAGTAGTAAGGTACTACAAATAGTAGAGAAATTGAGTCTCTACGAAGCTGGCAGAGACTGAGACTTGCGGCTTACCTTTAGGCATATCCATAAAGAGGCTAATGAGTGTACTAACTGGTGAGCCAAATGGGGAATCAAGCAAGATATTGGGCACTATACATGAACTACACCTCCTAAGGACCTTCATCAGCTACTATAGGAGGATAATGCGGGCATAGAGAGACCACGCAAAGTACTTATTTTATATTTTTCTTTCAAGACTTAGGCCCTCTTTGCCACCAAAAAAAAGGGGGGGGGGGAATGGAAATTCCCGCATAGCCATAGGTGCAGTTGTTTGCATCTGTATAAACATTGCACCCGCTGTCCATGTCAACGTTCAAGCTTTTCTAAGAGGATGTTTGGGGTAGGAGTATAGAAGCAACTCTTTTCTTTGGCATAAGAAATAAGATTATATGATTTGTATTCCTATTCCATAAGTAATTGCTTTTTTTAAATTTTTTTCCTTGAGAGATACACAATACTTTTCACCTACAAAATTACCTTTTCCAATTCTAATTTTCTTTCCATTCTATTACATTCTCTATAACCCAGACCACCTTAAAAATTTCACATTTATCCTGCAGCTAGCTTTTGTGAGGCCGTATGAAAAGGAGTGCTTTCTCTCATTTTTGGACTCAGTCCTGATGTTTGCCGAGGTTTGAAATATTACTGACGTACCAGAGAAACAGAGGTTACTCAGTATTTTGGGCAGCTTGGATGAAGGAACATCATCTAAAATAGGAACATAATAAGTCAAAAGGCAGTGATCAGGCTAAACCCTGGACTTATAATTATATATTTCCATGTAAAACGGGATAACAAATAAAAAGTTTGTCAATGATGATTTATCTATAGTTGAAGTTCTAATCAGAACTTCAACCAACGTATTGTTCTGTTGTTCAGGAATAACTAAAGGATACAGCTACAAGCAGATTTCTTAGCAGAGTCTTCGGATTTCTATGTGTGCACAATACAGCATCATTGGAAGACGACTCCATACTAATGCCAGAAGATGGTATAGCCAAAATCAGGAGAGCTACCAGGGAAAAGTAAGAAAGTAATGCTCTTCTTTGCAATCAGGAAGAAATATTAGCTTTTCAAGAAGGATCCAATTTCTACCTTCATAGTCCAAGGGTCAAATTCATGCCTTTTTCATCAAAGCAGGAGAACCAGTGCATCAAGATTCTGCTGCATCATTTGAATTCCTGAATGTAAAGTTATGTTAATGGAATCGCTATTTTTACAATCCCCAATGCAAACGTTTTTAACCAAGATTAAACTCACTTTGGAGCTTGTGAATCAAGCTGCATTGTAACTGGTCCATCATTAACCAAACTGACCTTCTCACCATCAAAAGTGCAAGGATAGTTAACTTGTAGCAATCAAACATTAAAATCCAGCACATGCATCATCACAAAGAAATTGAATAACATAAGCTCACCTTCATCATTGCTCCAAAAATTCCATCTGCAAGAATATGAAGCATCTTCAAGTCAGAATGTGACATAAAATTAAGTTTCAACAGATTTACAAGATGCATTCAAGGAAAGTGGCATACATAGATCACCAAGACTCCTTAAAGAGAATTAAATATACACAGAGAGACGCAAGTTTTCCAATGACCTAATGTAAATTGAATTACAGGACACAAAAACAACGTTGTCTAGTCATCATGAAAATCAGCAGACTCACCGTTTCAACGTAATTAGACAAGTGACAAGATGAATTATGTGTTTCCGTCTGTGGTTAATACTAGATCTAAAGACAATGGAAAAGGAACCACTTTTAAGTTAACTATAGCTCATTTGGTCATAAGCTATAAATGTGTTCGACCTTAGAGAAGATGCTCAGTATCAAATCCATGAATCATCACACTCAATATGCAACATTCACTAACGAAGTTTGTGCTTGCTGAACTCAACAAAGGTAAATGCTGAATGGCTATTTCTTTACCCCAAAAATAAAAAAACAAAAACAAACAAACAAACAAAATTAATGCCTCTCTCTTAACTTTATCATTTCTCACAAATAGATACCTTCGGCTGATAAATTAAATACGATTGAAGTTTACCTTTTACCGCATCATTGTTATAGGCATTCCTGAATCTATCAACCAAAGAAGCGTAAAAGGGCTTCGCTTTTTGAGGCGGCATTGCAACGTGAAAATCTGGCTTGTTGCCTTTCAGGAATCCATACAAGGTAAATTGACTCACTGTTACAAAACCAAAATTATTCGTTAAGTAAAACAACAACTTAAGTCCTTTCCACTTCCTTCCTCATTCATAATTAAGAAAACAGAACAAACATAATTCCGATACCTAATAAAACCTGATAACTCCTCTGCATTACCTGCAAGTTAAGAGAAGCCAAATTAGCCGAACAGCCAAAAGATTGAAAACAATATCCTCAATTGATACCTAAATTTGACAAGGAATTGAATTACACTTTGGTCCCATCCTTTGCCTGTACTTTCATTGGGGAACAATCTCATGTTCAAGACTTTACGACATCTGAAAATAGTAACAGGAAAATAAAAAAGTGACAACCGAAACCAGAAATTATACACTCAGCTTGAAAATCAAATAAAGGTAGAGCAGTACATGTAGTCGGCGTCGGCGTCGGAATCAGAATCGTGGAGGCCGACAAGGACGAGAAGGCCCGGTCCAATCTCAGACACAACGCGGCCTTCGACCTGAAAGAGTGCTACGATTCGCCGGTGATAAAGGATAAGAGAATAAGAGAGATAAGGTGAAGAAGCTTGACATTTTGGGTTGAAAGGAACTAACCTCGACGCTTGCAGAGGCCACGCGCTGAACGACGGCTCTCATTGCTGTGATTGGCTTCGGTTTCCCCTTGGTGACTGTAGCAGAAAAGCTTGTAGTTCTGTGCCTGGTGCGCGAATCCGTAGGGATGATGGCTGCTGAAGAAGAAGGCATATGGAGCGAGTACATTTTTATTATTCTTATTGTTATTGGACTTTTTCTCAAATCCTGTTGTTTTCAATTAAAAAAATATTGCCGTTGTTACGGAATGCGGGCTGCCAATCGGGAATTAAACTTTTTTTGGGGCCCCCTGGGCTCTAACGCATCCGCTCTTGTCGTTTAAGCGCGACAAAATTATTTATTTACGTTTGGAACACAGTAAAATTAATCCAAACGCCTCCTAATTTACACTCCGTCCTATCCTTTTTAGTTTTTAAACTGTGTTTCTCTTAAGTTGGGATAAATTTGAAAAAAAAATTAATTTAGTACAAATTTAATACTTTAACTATTATTTTTTAGTATGTAAAAATTAGTTAAAAATTCCTTATAATAAGGATTAGAAGGACTATATATCAATAAGATAGTTTACTGATTTATATTTTAACTTTCGGGGGAATAACATAAAAAGAAACTTGAAATATGATAAGGAAAATTTTTTAAAAATAAAATTTAAATTTTGCAAAATCCCAAAAGATTACCTAGCAAAATTTCAAATTAGTCATAATAATTGAATTGGAATTTTAAAATGAGAATATTTTTAAAAAATATTTATAAAATCTCAAAATCCCAAATCAAGAATTACTACAAACATGTGTTTTTATTTTCTTTTTAAATGTTATCACTTGCTATTAAAGTGTCTTGAACAAAACTGATTTAAAATTTTAAAATTCAAAAATATTTCTTTGTGATTCTTCCTTTTGAAATGCATGTTTGCTTTTTTTTTTTTAAGGAAAAAAAAAACCTCAAGCTACTCTCATCAGTCGGCTGACCGCTAGCAACCAATGTTAGAGCTTTGCTGAGTCGATGACTGCAACTCCGCCTATATTGTTTAGCCGGTCCCAAGCCCGGATAAAGGAGGAGGGTTGTGTTAGGCCCTCGACAGCCAACGTAAAAACCCGTCGAATCTCATGAACATGGATCAACAAAGTAATTATACTAATGCGAGGTGTCGTTGGCCAGAAGTGACGCGCTGTATGGCTCGAGTACAGTGAGAAATGAGCTAGAGCCGCTGCATCGTCGCCCGGATGTAGTGTTAAATGAGCAAGGGCTACCGCACTCTCTTGGACGGAGGCGGCTAAAGAAGTTAGTTCATGAGACTGAGATTAGATTTGGCACTTGGAATATTGGGACGTTGAATGAGAAATCTATGGAAGTAGCAGGAGTTATGAGGGACAGAAGAATTAATATCTTATGCCTCCAAGAAACCAAATGGACTGGAGAAGCTGCCAAAGAACTTGGAGAGTATAAACTTTGGTACACAGGAAAGGTGAGCGCAAGGAATGGGGTTGGTATCATCGTTGATGGGACATGAAAAAAGAATGTGGTAGAGGTTAAAAGGTTTGAGGACAGAATAATATCGTTAAGAGTAATTGTTGGGAAGGATACTATCAATATCATTAGTGCCTATGCACCTCAGGTTGGGGCAGAGACACATCTTAAAGATAAGTTTTGGGAAGATATTGAGGGTTTGGTTCAAAGCATACCACTTGAAGAAAAATTTTTTATCGGTGGGGACCTTAATGGACATGTTGGTAAGGAAGCAGGACAATTCAGCGGGGCCCATGGTGGTTTTGGTTTCGGGGAGCTTAATAGTGGAGGACAATCTATTCTCGATTTTTCTCTTGCATACGATCTTAAGATTGTCAACACTTGTTTTAAGAAGCGAGAGGAGCATTTAATCACGTACAAAAGTGGTGTCTCGAAATCACAGATTGATTTCTTTTTGGTTAAGAATCTGGACAGAAGATTGTGTACTAATTGCAAAGTGATTCCAAGAGAAGGGGTGACTACCCAACATAGAGTACTTATCCTTGATGTGCGTTTTAAGAGTACCAGGGAAAAGTACCATCAAGTGGCAAAACCCAGAATTAAGTGGTGGCAGTTAAAAGGAGAAAAGTAGGAGTTATTCAAAAGGACTCTTTTGAAGGAAGGGATTTGGGAGTTGCAGGGAAACGCAAACATGATGTGGGAAGAGATAGCTACGAGGGTTCGTTTGGTAGCTAAAGCAATTTTGAGAGAATCCAAAGGTCCTGGTCAAAGAGATAAGAAGACTTGGTGGTGGAATAAGAGTGTGCAGGAGAAAGTCAAACAGAAAAGAGATTGTTTTAAAGCCATACACTTGTGCAATAGTGTAGAAAACCGGGAAAAGTATCAATTGGCTAAAAAAGAGACAAAGAGAGCAGTGAGCGAAGCACGTACTAAAGCTTATGAAGGGTTTTATCAGGAGTTAGGAACAAAGACAGGAGAAAGAAATATTTACAAGATCGCGAAGCAAAAGGAGAGGAAAAAGAGAGATCTGGACCAAGTAAAGTGTATAAAGGATGAAGATGGTAAAGTGTTGGTTACTAATGGTGATATTAAGGACAGATAGGAGGCTTACTTTTACAAGTTGTTTAATGAGGGAAGCAATTAAGCGACTCAGGACTTGTAGGACTTGTTAATTAATGAAGATGATTGGAATTTGGCTTTCTACCGCAGGATACGTATCGGAGAGGTTAAGGCGGCTCTCAAGAAAATGGACAAGGGAAAAGTCGTTGGGCCTGATGGTATCCCTATTGAAGTTTGGAAATGTTTGGGCGAGGAGGGGGAGGTGTGGCTAACCAAGCTTTTTAATGAAATTCTACGCTCTAAAAATATGCCGGATGATTGGAGGAGAAGCATTTTAGTGCCTATTTACAAGAATAAAGGAGACATTCAAAACTGTGCAAGCTACAGAGGGATAAAACTTATGAGTCATACAATGAAGTTGTGGGAAAAAGTGATGGAATATAGGTTGAGGTTGGAAACTTCTATTTCGGAAAACCAATTTGGATTTATGCCAGGGAGATCTACTTCGGAAGCAATCTATTTACTAAGGGGGTTAATGGAAAGATATAGAAGTAAAAGAAGAGATTTACATATGGTTTTTATTGATTTGGAAAAGGCTTATGATCGTGTGCCAAGAGAAGTATTGTGGAAGGCTTTGGAAAAGAAAGGTGTACGGGTTGCTTATATCAAAGCCATACAAGATATGTATGAGGCGGTAACTACCAGTGTAAGGACGCCTGGAGGGGAGACAAAGGACTTCCCTATTAAGATTGGCCTACATCAGGGATCCTCTCTGAGTCCGTACTTGTTCAACATTATTCTGGATGTTCTAACTGAACCTATTCAAGAAAGAATCCCTAAGTCCATGCTCTTCGCGGATGATATTGTCCTTATGGCGGAATCAAAAGAAGAGATTAACACTAGTTTGGAGTTATGGAGAAGGACTTTGGAGTCGAAAGGTTTCCGTTTGAGCAGGAACAAAACAGAATATATGCATTGTGATTTTGGAGGGAGGCAAGGTAATGGGGATTTGGAGGTGAGGATGGGAGAACAAATTATTCCTCAAGTATCTAAGTTTAAATACTTAGGATCCACTATACAAGAGGATGGAGAAATTGATGGAGACATTTCTCATAGAATACAAGCTGGCTGGTTAAAGTGGAGGAAAGCTACCGGAGTTATTTGTGATAAGAAGGTACCTGAGAAACTTAAAGGAAAATTTTATCGGACTGCTATAAGACCAGCTATGATGTATGGTAGTGAATGTTGGGCAATAAAGGGAAAACAAGAGCACAAAGTCGGAGTAGCAGAAATGAGGATGTTGAGATGGATGTGTGGTCATATAAGAAAAGATAGGATTCGAAATGAAAAGATCAGGACAAGAGTTGGTGTGGCACCTATCCAAGAGAAAATGGTTGAAAATCGCTTAAGATGGTTTGGACATGTGCAGAGAAGGTCTTTGGAGGCCCCGGTGAGGAGGGTGGATCAAACAAGATGGAGTCCTATAAAAAGAGGCAGGGGAGGACCGAGAAGAACGTTGAATGAGGTCATTGAAAGAGACCTCCTAGTCAATAACATATCTAAGGATTGGGTTGTTGACAGAGCACGATGGCGTCGTGTGATTCATGTAGCCGACCCCACCTAGTGGGATAAGGCTTGTTGTTGTATTTTATAATAGGATTAACAATTCTTATAAAATATTCACAACTTCATTAATACTATTGGAAAAACCATATTGAAGGTACCTATACTTTCTCTCAATTTTTAATTTGGTACCTATGTATTTTTTTCCCTTTAATTAAACATTTAATTTTATCTTTTTAACAACATTAGCTCTTATAACTTTGTTCTATTGATATTTTTAGTCTCTACATAAGGATTAATGATGTTAATAGAGGAAAAATAAAGATTTAGTTAAGTATAAAAAACACATAGGTACCAAATTGAAAATTGAAAAAAAATATAGGTACCTCTAATATAGTTTTCCCAATACTATTTACCATGTGCTTTTTATGTTTTTAAACCAAATTTTTTTAACACATATAACGTAATTAAGAATTTTTATAACGAAATTGACAAGTCCATTAATGTCAATAACCATTTTATATTATGTTTTTAAACTTAAAAAAAAATTAACAAGTGCCCAACCTCATGTTGGCTTGAGGTTTTACCCCCAAAAAAAATGCAATATTATAAATTTGTGAATATTTCAAAAATTTAATTTAGTCATTATAACTAATTTATAATTTTACGAATCCAAGTCACCTTCTGGGATTTTAGAAATCCAACTGTATTTTTTTGGGGGAATTTTTCCTACATTTTTTCAGGTTTTCTTTTTCTTAAAATTTCACGTTAACCACAAAAAATTAACAAATAAAAATTATACAATTTTCAACAACGTATGTTGATTTGACAAGTCAATTTCTTATCGGATCAGATCACATTTTAAAAATATAATTCCAAATTACCCAAAAAAATTGTCAAACTAACGCTTTTGGAATGGATACCAGGAATGGATACCAACATATGCATTGTGAATTTATGAAGTGACCATAAAAAGTTAACAAGTTAGAATTCTGCAATTGAAATTGACAACAACATGCGCACATTTTGAATAAATGACCACGAGATAGAATTGCTTGCAGAGACTTTCATTTCCAATATCGATCTGCCAAACATGAATTGTTTGGAAACCTAAAAAAACACTTATATTTTTTAGGAAAAAAGACAAAAAAATGCTACTTAAATTTCATAATCCCCAAATGGTATATTAAATTTGAGAAATCCCAATTTGGTCTCAAGAAATTGGAATTATCATGTTAAAAAAAAAGAACAAATTGCCCTTTATTTTAAATATTGTTTTTAAAATATCACAGCTTCCACTGGCCGGCCGGTCACCAGAGCTCCGGTGATCGGCCGACAATTGGTCACTGGAGTTCCGTCGGTCGGAAAAATTTGTTTTTGAAAATTTTTATAACTTCAGTATAACGGTTAACAACTTTTGTAATGCTATTAATAACTTCAGTATAGCAATTAACAATAGGTTTTTTGAAAAATTCAACAAATTCTGGCGACTGGAAACAATTTTTTAAAAATTTTTTACAACTTCAATATAACCGTTAACAACTTTTGTAATGCTATTAATAACTTCAGTATAGCAATTAACAACAGGTTTTTTGGAAAATTTAACAAGCTCCGGTGACCGGAAACAATTTGTTTGAAAATTTTTACAACTTCAGTATAACGGTTAACAACTTTTGTAACTCTATTAACAACTTCAGTATATCGGTTAACAACAGGTTTTTAAGTTTGTTAATGACATTACTGAAGTTATAAAAATGGCATTTTTTGAATTTTTCGAAAAAACTGTTGTTAACTACTATATCGAAGTTGTTAACCATTATACTAAAATTATAAAAATTTTCAAAAAAAATTGTTTCCGGTCACCGGAGCTTGTTGAATTTTTCAGAAAACCTGTTATTAATTACTATACTGAAGTTGTTAATAACATTATAAAAGTTGTTAACCGTTATACTGAGGTTGTAAAAATTTTCAACTTCAGTATAACGTTAACAATTACGTTTTTCTTTGAAAATTTTTACAACTTCAATATAACGGTTAACAACTTCTATATAGTAGTTAACAATAGCTTTTTTGGAAAATTCAAAAAGTTGCATTTTTATAACTTCAGTAATGCCATTAACAAACTTAAAAATATGTTGTTAACTGCTATACTGAAGTTGTTAATAGAGTTACAAAAGTTGTTAACCGTTATACTGAAGTTGTAAAAATTTTCAAACAAATTGTTTCCGGTCACCGGAGCTTATTGAATTTTCTAGAAAACCTATTGTTAATTGCTATACTTAAATTGTTAATAACGTTACAAAAGTTGTTAACGGCTATATTGAAGTTGTAAAAATTTTCAAAAAAATTGTTTCCGGTCGCGCGGAATTTGTTGAATTTCCCAGAAAACCTGTTGTTAATTGTTATACTGAAATGGTTAATAGCATTACAAAAGTTGTTAACTATTATATTAAAATTGTAAAAATTTTCAAAAAAATTTTTTTCCAACTGACAAAACTCCAGTGACCAATTGTCTGCCGGTCATCGGAGCTCCGGTGACAGCCGCCGCCGGAGCTCTGGTGACCGGGCGGTCAGTGGGGGCTATGATATTTTAAAAACAATATTTAAAATGATGGGCAATTTGGTCTTTTTCTTTAACATGATAATCCTAACTTGGTCTCTTGAAACCAAATTGTGATTTCTCAAATTTAACATACCATTTGGGGATTATGAAGTTTAAGTAGCATTTTTCTCTTTTTCCCTATTTTTTATACAAGTTGATATAAAACTTTTCTCATATACTTATCTCAAAATTCATAGAATCACTTCAAAAAATCTAATCCAAACACCCCATTGGGCCAAGAAAGTTATGTTTCAAGAAAAGCTCTCACGTTAACATTTTGATTTTATACTAAACGTAGTACAACAAGGAATGATGGTTGGGTTTTCACACCATAATATTACATCATGTTTTACATGTAAGTCTTAGTTCGTAGTACAATTTTAGGATCAGAGGTAGTATCATTTTCATTAAGTGACAAAAAATTTCGAACTTGAAATCCGATTAATATCCATGCTTTAAAAATTATATTATAATACTTTTTTTAAACCTTAAAATACTCATATTTAGTACTTAATAATAACTCACACAGGTCTCCAATAAAAAGATGACATATGCTAAACATAAAACTCCAAGATACGACAAAAGGGACTCTTAATTCACAGAAAATCTTAATATATGAACACAAATAAGAGAATTTCATTCTTTATGTGGACATACTACTACGTTGAATTATAGTCACGCATGCATACTACAATCTTTCCTCTTCTCTCCATGCTTTTTCCCTCTCTTCACTCTCACTAAACTCATTCTCTCCATTGCGCTTGCAAAAGCTTGGAAAAACTTCTGCTTATCTTTGGCCATTGCTTCGACCAACGGCTTAGTTCTCGGATCCAAAAACAAAGCCTGATCCGAAGCCAGCAAACCCATCTTCTTCTGCAGGTTCCCATAGTAAGCATTGTCGAACAAGAATGGAGTAGCGGCATCAAAAGGAACCACAGCATTTGAACCTCCATAGCTGGGGCAATACATCCTCAATGCGTGCATGAGTTTTGGGTCCATGCTTGGGTCGGGTTTGTAGAGGCGGGTCACAAAGTGGTTGCAATGGGCATACCCAATGGTGTGGGCACCTGAGAGAGCAACCATGTCTTCTAGGGTAAGGCCTTTGGAGGCGAAGAGCTTGATGAGTTGATCAATGGTGGAATTTGCAAAAGGAAGGTTGTTTCCAACTCTAGAAGCCATGGATATTTTTCCATCCCATCGACCCTTTTTTACTTGGTAATATGGCCCTCCTGCCTGTGATCACATTATTTACAAAAATTGGAATTAATTTGTGGGTAATTTTTCGTTTGCGCTAAAGCATAATTACTAATTAAAAATTTAATTTTATGGTTAAATGTAGTCCAAAATTTACACGACATCATTAGTATCACAAAGCAGAAGAAGAGGGGAAAGAAAAGTGTTGGAACTAGATAATGCTTACTAGCACCAAAAACCCAGATCGACTATTAAACTAGTTGGGATAGGGATTCAAAAATCGGTGATCCAACCGTCGTTGAATCAAGATCAATCCAATCATGATTAAGAAAAATATAATTTAATGTATAGAAAATGTTCACATATATATTATCATGGCAAGGGTAATATTTAAATAAAAAAGATTATATCCACAAGTAAATGAAATGTCCATATATAAATGACACATAATTCAATAAAATAGAGTTATTAAAGCATGAAGATGACATATTGCTATTTTTTAGCTCAAAACAACATCATTTCAAGTTCAGCAAGAAAAGAAAAATAAAAGAATTAGGAGAATTATCAAGAGGTTCCAAGAAAAAAAATTTACCTACCAAATTATAAAGTCCTAATAACAAGTGACCAACCTAAACCTATTGGCATTCCTTATTTTGAAATTTATCATTGCTTACTCTTCACTTGTCAATAAATTTTAAGGTAATTAAATTTTTTTTTTAACCTGATTGTAATTCGCCCTAAAAAATTTAGCTCATCAATGACCTGTCTGAAACTATTGACCGGACTGGACGAGATACTAGTTCACAAGTCTAACAGGGTGAATCGAGGTGGGTTTTAATACTATAGTTAATGTATGTGATATTATTAATTTTTTTCTTTAAGAAATCAGAATTCATATGCATTATATTATATGAAATTTTATGAAATTTGGGTAGTAAATCCTATTTTTATTACTTTTAAATATGGTGACTCTTAATAAATTTTGCATAACAGTATGTAGATGCGTGCATATTATTATGCATGCTTTTGTATATTCTATATTATATAAGGTCTTAAAAATATGATATATGAATAATATGAGTTGAAATAAATTTTATGTTTTATAATAATAAAAGTATATTTAAGTCAATGTAGATAAGCATTGACAGATAAAAAAATAGATCTCAAGACGTGTTGACTTAATTATCCCAAGCTCAGATCTAAGATGAAACATAATAGTTGGCTAGACTGATAATAAAACCAAGTGATATAAATTATCAATATTTAATTCAATATTCTTACACTATTTACAAACAAGGAATAATAGGATTGTGCATAAAACGTTTGAAAAAATGTAGAGCAAAAGAAAGATAAATATTTGATGATTGTGGTGCTAAAATAATCCAAAAGTGAAACAAGAGTTAGGCTAAATTGGAGCAAGCTTCATCTAAGACATCAATTAATCATTGTTTATCACAAGACGTGATTATGAACAGTATTATTAATACTAGTAGTACTCCTTCGGTTCTTAATGTAGGACCTAATTGTTGAATTGATTTTAGTCCTAAATATAAGACCAATTTCTTATATTTATCAATTTTTTCTAAATTAGCTCTATGGATACTTCCTCAATCATAATCAAGTAGAAAATGAAAGGAAGACATTAAGAAAGATAATTATAGTGTTTCAGAAAAAACATGTTATATTTCTTATGATTAATTAACTTACCTAACTTCCTTAATCTAATCAAATTATTTAAATAGGTCTTATATTAAAGACTGGAAGAGTATTATTTATTTTCAGACACAGTAATCCACTCCTCATAACTGCTACAAACTGTAGTTTAATATTATATTAATTGTTAACAAATAAATTAAGGCCAAGTTGCCTTTTAATATGAAGTTAAATCAGATTATAATTAGTTAACTAATTAATGACCTAAAGTGCCTTTCATTTTTTAACAAGAATCTAGAATCACGACCAACCTTGATCAATGTGTAGAACACTGTCTTTTCCGTGTTGTTTTCCCCAGACAACCAACTAGCACATGAAAGGATCGAATAAATAATTCTCTCTCCTAAACCTAACCGTTTTTTAGTTATTTGTCTTCGTTTAACTAAAAAATTGTTTTGTTGTCCCTTTGATTTTATTTTCACATTGACAGCTAAAACTATCTATCAAATGATAAAATAGTAACATTAGAGCCATTTGACTCAACTAACATTTAGCACTCTCTTAGATCTTGAAGTAGCATATTTCACCTTTCATGAATTTAATGGGTAAGTGAGTTTCTTTTTTCTTCAAACGAGCAAAGGATGCTAAAAAAAAAAAAAGAGATAAAACTTTTATAGACTCATTTGGAATGATTTATAAACAATTTTTCGATTATAGGTTATGAAATACAAAATAAATATGTGATAGGAATTTCATTTCTACTTGTACAAAACGTGTTTATTAGTGCTTATGGACGTGATTTCAAAAAACAAACCCTGTATAATACAAATTAAAAAAAAAAGAAAAAAAAGAAATTAAGGAGAGTACTAACCAAATGAACAAAATCTCTGGCAGCAACAGCGAGAATATCAGCACAAGACACAACGCCTGGGCACTTGCTCTCCACTAATTCCTTCGCCTTCTTCACTATCTCAAAACCTTCTTCCCTCAGCTCTCTGTTCTGCTCCGCCTCCTTCTCGGCCTTCGATCCGCCCGTCGACGCCACCAATATCGACCCATCACAACCCTACACACAACCCCCATTTAACAATCCTTGACCTTCTTCATCAATCTACAGAACCCAATAACATCAAATGACATCAACAATGTTAGTTTACCTCAACGAAGCAGTCATGGAAGAAGAGGTTGATGCTGGCCGGAGCAGAGACTGGAGTGAGCTTGAACTGCTGAGAGGTGACGGCGCCAACGAGGCGTTCAATATCAGCGCAGGACTTGGAGTAGTAATCAACTGAGAGCTGGCGGGGGGTATGATGACTATGGCGGGAATGGCCGGAGGAGGAGGAGTTGGGGAGTAATTGGGCGGCGCTGCAGGGAGGTTCTGTGAAAATGGAGAGAAGAAACAGACAAATGAACAGAAGAAACGAAGAAGAAGAAGAAGAAGGAAGAGAGAGAAACATGGGTTTGGAGTGTGATGTGTATGGTTGGTGAGAATGTTGAAGCAGAAGAAGAGATTGAGACTAAGTTGTGAATGTTGGTTTGTGAAGTGGTGGGGCTATTACTTATTACAATTTACAAATATATGCAAGAGAACATAAGAGGGAAACGAGACCCGTGAGTGTCAGGGACCAGAAATACGAAGAATAAAGGGCGAAAAAGGAGAAAGTTAAAGAATTCAGTAAAAGGGCAAAAAGAAGAGTGGCTTTATTTTATTTTTTTGGGTGGAAGAAAGTGGCTTTGAAGTTCGAGGACATTGAAATTGGACACAACTGAGCAATGTATCCACCTGAGGACTGAGGCAGCAGCTCTCTGACATATATTTTCGTTTCATAAATGAGAGCGATTAGTTGCTGTTGACCTTTGTCTCCATCTTTGGACTTGTACATGTGTGAGTACCACTTCTGTACTAAATATAAATTACTTTTGGGGAGAATTTTATTTCATCAACAACTAAATTTTTATAAGCAAATTGTTGGTGAAAGGTTTCATTCAAAAAAAGCTAGAGTAATACTCTTCCGATTCTTAATATAAGACCTAATTATTGAGTTGATTTTGATCATATTATAAGATCCATTTTTTATATTTTTTAATTTTTTCTAAATTACTCCTATGGATCTCCTTCACCCATAATCAAGTAGAAGAAGGAGAGAGGATATTAAGTAAGATGATTATGGTGTTTTAGAAAAAATATGTCATATTTTTTATAATTAACTAACTTACCTAACTTCCTTAATCTAATTAAATTAGTTAAATAAATTTTATAGTAAGGACAAAAAAAGTATAATCTTTACTTTTCAAATTTGCATGAATTTTAATTTTAGTTTTTTGAATTTGAAATCATAATTTTTAGTCCCTTAAAGAATAAAATAGTTTAAATTATAAGAACTAATGTTTTAGACAGAAAAAAAATTTAAAAAACCAAAATTTATAAAGAATCAAAACTAAAATAAATACAAATTTAATTGATTAAAAATTATATTAACCCATAAAGTTATTGGGCACTTTCTTTGGTCTTCTTTTACTTTCTTTTGGTCAGCCTGATTTATTCTCCTCCTCAGTTCCTCCAATAATATCTTTTACGCTATTTTATTACTTTTTTTTTCCGATAGATGGCCAAAAATTTGTATGTATGTATGAACTATGAGCGTATGAATGAATTAACGAATGATTTTTTTTTAAAAAATACCTTTGCTCAAATCATAAAAACCACTGAGTGTGTGTGCTGGCTTGTCTGGTGTATTTATTATAGTTTTTTCAATGGTGTCCATCATTTAAAAATCAAAACATGTTGTGTTACGTTCATGGAGCAACCAAGCAGGAAGGGCAAGTATAAAAATTAGGCTAGGGATATAGTTAAAAAAAATTAAAAGAACTAAATTTATAACGCTATTAAAAAGGACAACAGATTTGAACAAATTTTTTGAGGATTGTGAAGTAGTATTTTTTTTCCTGTATGAGACAAGATGGAGTAATAAAATAATCTGGATGCCAAGTGATATGAGGGAAAATATATACAAGTAATAACGGGTCACTCCTGCTTTTTTTTTTTTTTTTTTTTGACCTGGGGTTACTAGTTCAAATACATGAAAGCTGTGACTGGCATTATTTATTCTTCGATAATTTGAGTTCAATACTTTCATAGCGATTTGAATTATTTTTATAATATTATTGTGAGATCTTACTCCTCCGATCTATTTCTAACCTATAAGCTTCAATTTGCATTTATCTTAATATTTAATGTATTTTTTCTAATATTGTCCTTAATTATTTTTCTCTCATCAGATTTTTCCACATATTTTCTTGCATCATTTTTTTATTTATTATAAGGGTATATTTGAAAATAAAAATTTATTTCTAACCTATTAATTATTTTTAATTACTTTTAACTAATTATTTGTTATCTATAAATAAGTTATTTAAAGCTTATAATAAGAACCGAAAAGAGTACTGTGCATCTCAGAGTTGTTCCAAGTAGTCCCAAAGTACGCAAAGAGATTTTTGCTTCTCAAGTTAAATTAAGCATCGTTAGATTAAACAATTAAATTAGTCATTAGTGGCACTACTTATTTGTGAAAAACAAAGGAGGTAAAAGGTAGGTAGGGTCCAATAATGCAATCGGCGCTACACTACATTGATGATAGAATTGAAAATGAAAATGTGTTTGATTATGAGGATCATTCACATGGGTTTACGTAATGTTCTAGTAAATATGATTCCTTCTAATAGTTGGCTATTGAAATTGATTAATGAGTCTCTCTGTAGACAGACACATCATAATAATTAATGGCGTTCATTTTCATAAAAGTGTGTGAATGCCGTTGTAGTTTGAGGAGAACAAGGTTGTCAACACGAATCCCAATGTATCAATATCAAGTTTTTCTTTTAAATTTTTATTATGACTAACTCTCACTATCAATGTAACTTATCGTTATTAATTTACTTTTTTAAATTTTAATTCATTGAGATAAAAGGATATTACATTCAGTTGATATTAATATAAGAGTTATATAACTAATTTACAGGCATTAAAAAAATTAGTTAAATTAATTTTTTTAATAAATAAATGTTATTTTTATTAAAAATCTCTCTATTAATCATGTGCATTAAAATTATTCTTTTGTAAAAACTTCTTAACATGCATAATTACCATGACAATTACTTGAGAGCAAAATAGATAAATATTAGAAATGAAGTAAATTAAAATCTTATATTAGAAAATTGAATTTCTTCATTACTATCTCTTATATTAAAAATAAGACATAATACATGACAACGCAAATTTGGATCTTAACAATACTACCTCCTATTCTTAATATAAAACCTAATTGACTAATTTGGGAGAGGTTAAAGAAGTTACTAAATTACTTTTAAGTATTTATATTTATCGTTTTTATCTAAACTAATTTGCCTAATTTATAAATTGATCTAGTCTAATCACATATGTAAGTATTGTAGAAAATTATGTAATATATGCTATAGATAAGTAATTTTGTAATTTTTTAATTTTTTTAAATTAATTAATTGGGTTTTATATTAAGAACCATAAGTGATACAAAAAAACCCAAACATAATAGATCTTCAAAACCTACACAGAGTGTTTAAAAAACACTAAAAACACTTACAAAAATATTTTTATGTAAGTTGAGATAATTTTTTTACATATTTACCCTTGTCCTAGCAACTGTAGGAGTGAAGCATCGCCTATCTTCATAATATAACACCTCCAAGAACAAATATACTTCTTTAATTCTATTTATAAGTCATTTTCAACATGTTTTATACAGATCAAGAAAATCTTAAATTACATTAACACTCCGTTAAAATTCAATAACTTTTCAACTTTATCCTTATGTTTTTTAGTAACAAAATTTTAATGTACATTATATCCTATGAAAAGAAAGTCAATACAATAATAAATAAAAGATGAAATCATACATTCGTATGAAAATTTGTTCTCTACCTTATAAATATGACTAAAAAATCAATTTTTTCTCTACTCTACAAATAAGATCAGAAGAATATATCCTATAGAATACTGAGACGACTAAAAGTAACTTGTACTAAAGCCCTGATGAATAACAACAAACTTACTCATATCCTTATTATAAGAACATACTAAATAATTTACATGTACAAATAAAAAACAGTTAAAAATATTAAAAATGTCATAAAATTTAAGTGATTTTCAATATTATTTCATTAGCTATATTAAATTTCAACATCATATTAATTTTTATTCTCTTACTACATATTGTTATTAAATATGGGTATATATTAAAAAAATATTTAACGGTCGTTGAAATTATAAAAAAAATTTATTAAAAAGACCAAATTTTCCTATAAAGGCTCCTAACCCCGCACCTCACCAGTCTGCATCGCTGTAAACCCGCGGATAGAACTAACAATGCACAACTTAAAACAACTATATGGAAAACATGCGGACAAAGTAACAACAGAGTTAAAGTGAACTCTGAGCAGCCTTGAGATGTTGGATATGCCAAATATTACCATAAGATATAGAGTACTATTAGAAAAATACTACTTAACAAAAAAGAAAACCAACATCAAATATTTTACACGCTAAACAATGACGTTTAAAAGTAGAGGAGGGGCAGCGGGTGGTAATAGTAGAGGAAGCCAGAGTCAGATTGAAGGGAGCTTTAAATGAACTTTTTGCAGAGCAACATTGAGCTGAGAGATGAAAGAGTGGACCCAACGCAATGAAAAGTGCAAGGCTTCTTGCATGAGCACTTAAATGCAGTGCATGTGCAGCAAAATAAAAACACCCCACTAGCTATAAATAAATAAACGAGTCCCTTTATTAGCCTCATCAAATGTGAACCACTTGTTATTTCTTTGGAAGCACATATTTCTAGTCAAGTCTCTTTTGTTGTGAGGGCATTAAATTTGTGGGGAACGCATTTCTTGTCTCACTCATTCATTTCCTTCTCAAGCCTTGGCTGCTTGCTTTTGCATGACTCGGACTTGTGGGTTTTCACTCGGTGAAGCTAAGGCAAAACACATGTGGACGCTGATGAGTTTGGTAGTAATATGCTTCCTTTCCTTGAACATTCACTTGGGTTTTAAAAGGGAAATTGTTAAGCTAGGAGAGAAGAATCTGCTAAAGTTATATATGACCATATATATATGTGTGTGTGTATGTAATATGTGTAATTACAACTATTGTTGGATTTCTCTTTTTGTTTTGAACTTTACTTGAAGAAATTATATGCCAATTAAAAACATGACAACATCAAACATGATAACGGATTCCTCAACTAGAATACAATATTATATAATATATAAGCATAAATGTGTTTTGGTATTTCGATTCGGCTGTTTAAAGCTATGCTAAGATACTTTGTATAAGAGATTATATCCCTTTTTTGTAAGAGACCTACGAGGTTTGATTCATTGTATGATACCATCGGTCAGGACAGAAACAAAGAACTCAGATCTGAATTGGGTAAAAGATAATTGCTCATAATATATGAAATAATTGACTTTAATTGTTTGGTTCTGAATTCTCATCTTTCTTATTTTAAATGATTCATACCATCATCAGCATGATGGTTTGCTCATGTTAATATTGTGCAAATGCGGGTGGACTTGAGTTGACCTGAGATTATTTCTCCCTCTGAACAAGTCCCATTTTTGGGCTTCTAACAGTGTGACACAAGTAAGTTCCTGTTGCTGTAACTAGGGTTAGTCTCATTTTTGGCATTACATGTGTGTGCAATTAAAGGGCATCGTTGGAAGCTTATAATTGTGCACATGAAGCCCAAAATGGGACTGGCCCTGTTTTGTCTGCAGCAAGGAACTTTGTGCGCCACACTGTTTTAAGCCCAAAAAATTAGACTGCACTGCTATAAAATAGGGACCTTACATTGTTAGTCTACATCTGTTTTTCAAAAAAAGGCCTAATTTTAAATTCATGATACTCTCACAACAACTTTAAGGTGATTTAACAATGCCTATTTTCTTGACCTCTTCATCTCTAAACCAGTTTTCTTTCCTTCTGTCAGAAATACGTATCATGGAGAAAGACTGGAGAAGAGATGAATTTCACTTATGTTGAGTGCTTGTTATGCACATATCATCATGTAGCTCACAGGGTAATTGTATCAGCCTTGCAGAAATATTACACTGTTGAGTTTACTTCTGAGCTATTGTGAATTTATTTTGACTGTTATGTAGGTTCCTGATGCCAAAAATAGTTCATGTGGTTACAAGATTGTTACTGGCCACCCATCTGATAGGCTTGGGGTGGACTTTTCAGAGCATTAGCAGGATTTTACTGAGAGGTATTATCTTTCTTCTGAAAATATGCACATAATAAATAACGAATCTTTTAATTTTGCATTATGAAAATGATTCACTTTTTATTTACATGTGCAAGTGCAGATTCCTTGATTAACATTATTGAGTTATTGTTAATGCTTTCAGGTACATGTCCCACGGCTTATTTTGTACTATTACATTTGTGGGAAGCATGCATGATATAAATAGAAGTCAATTTGAAATGTGGCCATTTGGTCTTTGACTCTTTGTCAGACCAAAGAAGAGACTATACTTAGGTAGAACGTTGGAATCTTAGAAGGTAATTATTTTTATTTTATTATTATTTTTCTCCAGAAAATATGGAGGGAATGACTGAGATGGAAACATGGAAAACAACGATAAAAAGTAAGTCTTGAGACTGATCATAATACTGACAAAGAGGTATCAGTGATTGGATTTGACTGTTTGAGAAAGAGGAGAATCACCCCTTAGCCAATCGAGAATTTACTAGACTAATTTAGTGGTTATAACCTGTTCACATAAAGGGATGGTGAAGTAGACCCAAAGAAGAGATTCATGTTTGAATAGTTATCTTGTCCTTCATCTTGTTACAAACTTGCTATGACTTTGAAAAAGTGAAAATAATGAATAGTTGCAATTAAGCAATTCTATTGTTGATTTATTGTTTTGCAAAAATTCCATGCCTTCTGTACATTCTTCCTGTGGGGTTGTTGTGTAATAGTCTTAGTTCTGGTCATTTCTTTTCTTAGATTAAATAACACTAAGGAGTTAACCCGGCCTACCATGAAGAAGTTAAATCAGGTTACGGCTGTGGACAACAAATCAATGGCAGTTGCTAAAACATAAGAAGTGAAGTGAAAAATTGAGAGTTTAATCTTATTGTTTGATAGTTCTTTGTCTTTACTCTCATTATGCACCATGCTTATGTTTTTCACTATTTTAAAAGTACAACTCTAATTGTGCACCATGCAACTTTTAGCATGACTTTAAAATACTACCTCTAGTCCTAAACGTAAGATTCACTTTATAATGCCAATTGCACTACTAAGTGGATCTTATCTTTAAGACCAGAAGTAGTACCTGCTTATGCATAGAGTATTTTAGTCGCTGATATTTTATTCTTCCTTCTCTCTCCCCTTCAAATTTGCATGGTCAGCCATTACACTCCAAGGCGCCTTCTTTTATTTGAGATAAGAACATCAACCTTTCTTGGAAAGAATCAACAAAAGCTGCATCTTCTTCAACAAAGGCGGCCGGGGACGATTTTTAGTTTTTGTAAATATAACATTTTATGAGTATCTTTTCTCATCATCTTTCATGAGAGTCTACTACTGTGACCCTAAACTATTTTTGCTTACGAATTCAGATGGACTAAACTTCCTAATAGAGCACTGCAAGGATTACCTAGTGGTGGGAGAAGTGGTCGTTCTAGGGCCAGAGGCAGGGGCTGGGGTAAACTTGATTCACTTTTTGATTGTAGAAAGCATCTGATTTTGTTTCACGGAAATGTATAACATACAAGTCGGAGATGTTATTATACTGGAATTCTTTTGCCAGAGAATTTCTTTTTTGGTTACTTCTGTCAGAGGAAGTTCTGATTAGATTACAAATGATCATGAGATTTCATATTCATTGTGGACCAAGTTCGCTGTCACACTTTCTCCCAGAGTAAAGATATTAGCAAAGTAGATATAAGCCTGGGTGAATTTCCTCTAGGCTTTACAATTAGAATTCTTAAGGTTACGTAATCTGTAAGGAAGCTTTTCCCAAACTAAACCTGATGCTCTCATTGACTACTTACGGTAAGTCACTCACCAAACCAGGAAAATTTAACAAAGGATAATGGCGGTAATTTAAAAATATACAAGTAAACAAAATGAAGATTTGAATTTGACGTAATAAAAAGAACTGTGATCCGAGTAAAAATTCCAGCAGTTGTTTTCCACAATAAGGGCAAAAGGAGATTTAGTAGCTGCTCACGGATGACAGTAAATTCAGGACTGTAAAAACACAAAGTTCTTTCTGACTTATATACACGGGATTTTCAAAAGGAAACTAGTAATTGAAGAAGTGAACCTAAATAAGCGCGCTAGTGAACCTAAATATGGCAATCACAGACATCAAAAACTTCTGACTCTAGTATAAACAACATACCTGTTCACACCTTAAAAAAAATTACATTCCTATAATAGGATCATGAACTAGAACTCTCATAGTTAGATACACTTTCCTTCTTGTAAGTCATCTATTGTCAGGGGTTTCGATTGGTGTCTCTGGTTGTGGTGAAGTGAGCAAAATGGCTGTTGATGCTGGGGATGCAGTATCTTGTTGATGCATAGGTGAATCAGTGGTACTGACATTGTCCCATCTGGAAGAACAGTCAGTTACATCTTGTGTCCCAATATCGGGCGGGTACAAGTGAGTTTCCTGAATAAGCTTTCTGCCATAAATCCGCTTGGCTAATTCAAGTGTTCTTATCCACATTGTCACATCACTTGTGGGTCCATTGCCTTCTTCAACGATTTTTTGAGTTAGCTGACAAAATCCTTGTGATTGAATGATAGAAAATAGTAAACAAATTGTTGATATGACCCCAGAAATGACAAAGAGAACCCAGAAACTTTTAAGCTTCAGACTTTGAGTATCATTTGAACTAGAGTTGTTGGTGCACTCGTTTGAGCGATGTAACCATTTTGCTTCCAAGTTGGTTAGTTCTCCCCTCTCTGAAAGCTGCAATATTGCTTTAGAAACATCTTTGGTCAGTGGGGAGCCTTTTTGGAATATCTGCATAATGTGATTGATAAGGAAAATCCAAGTTAAATGTTTAAATAACCATGTAAGGGGAGATGAATAATGTTTATTATAACATGACAGAAAACATATTGCATCCAAATTTTGTTCCTAATTTTGAGAAGGACAAGGAAAGTTAGATATGGAAACCGATTATTACTTACAAAGCCTAGGCCTCCAAATCTGGAGGTTGGTGCGGAGCCAGAATATTCCTTGCAATAAGTACTTATGTATACTTTTTCATAAGGGAGTTCGAGAAAAGCTGCTGTTATTGAATTGCTTTTGAATGCATCATCATAATTGTATTCACTACTTAGGTTGATGATGTTTTCTGGGTTGAACTTTTCGACTTTCTCTAGGTATGTCCTAACAAATGAGTCGCCATCGCAACCAATTTTCACATTGTTCCTCTTCAACCACTCGATGCTTGTGACATTTGGCTGCAGTTGTTGAACTGTTAGCATTGAAGAAAGGCTAGCTGTGTAGCTTGAGGTCAGAACCATAACTAGAAGAAGCCATGCTGCCATCACCACGCGAGATAAGTTACTATGCATTTGCTCCCCTGTAAGATTAATCAAAACAAGTCAAGCTCAAAAGACACTTTTGGACTAATAAGCATTGATATGGACTCATAATACTGACTGTGTGACGCGACAAAATGGGTAATGAATAAATCCAATGTAGTATTGCTTAGGGTCTTTTAGCAGAGAATTAAAGAATGCTATTCATTGAAGTTTAGCAGCAATGCTTACTATGGGCAAAGAATAGGGAGGAGAAGGTAAACCAGAGAGCAGTGCTGAACTGTCTCTTCCAATTGCCTTGAAACTCTGGATTAGGTACTCGTTCAAGGTACCAAACTACTAACATAGTGTAATTCAAAATTGCACCAGTAACCGCCCACATTTGCCAGGTGAATGGCTTTATAAACATCCATGTTGAATCTTGAGACTTCACTGGAACTATCATGGACAATCCCGATTCTGCATATGGTACAGTAAAATCCACATATTGCAGTCTCTCTGCTAGTAGGGTCACGTCACCAACCACAGCATCATAAGTCTTCCACCACCAAAAGAACAAAAAGGAAGTGATTTAGTCCAGTGAGGTAGAACCAAAATGGTACACAAAATTCAAAAGTTAACAATACATGATGCTCTGTATCACAAATTGAAGGTTTACTTTGCCAAATATATTTAGGAAGTATACACGTGTACAGGCACCCATTTGCATGCTTAAGATGCAAAGACAGAAATTAGTAGGAAAAACGATTAGTGGGTGGTGGCTAGATTGAGAGAATTATACTTTAGAAAGCAACATTAAGGTGTTTGTTACTATCTTTTAGAAATGGAAACAATAATTGAATGAGGTATAGTAGAACCGGTTTTAATAAAAACATTAGGTTCCCAGAATAAAGAGATCATACATTTCGCTGCTTAAAATTCAGGAACAATGGTCTTTATTTTTTTTTTTTTTTAAACAGAACTCTAATAAATGATGTATTATCAACTTTTACTTTTCTTTTTCTAAGGGAAAGAGGAAAGGTTAAATGAAAAAGAATTGCTACCTTGTTATACACAAGTTGAACCAGATCAGTATAAGTTAGATTGAGGGGATGAAACTCATAGGGTAGATCATATTCCAAAAGCTCGAGCACCTTGTCGAAAACCTCAATACAGAATCCTTTATATTGATTCTGGTCTGGACTTTCTCCGTAGTCAACCTTGACAAACTTTGAAAACGAAGTTCTTCCTGGAACCGCAATTTTCATTGGGTTTCGCTTAACAGGCATATTCCAACCTTTAGGAGTTCTCTCCAAATTCCCTGGCCATTGTACTACACCCGCCAAACTTTGTGTGTTAGCAGTAGCATTTTCTTCACTTTTTCCTGTAGGAAGGCTTGTGGTGAACCCATTTTCTTGAGTCCAAAAGTCTATTTCTTTATAACTCTTGCCAACTACATTAACTATCCTTAGGATAGGATTCTGCAAGAGCTGACCTGCTTGAAAATGAATTTTCCCACTTAAACCATTGATACTGCTAGACAATATCTCTCTTAGCAAAGCTTTTGGGCTGCTACTTTTGTCCCTTGCCATTCTTTCTACTGCTTGAATGACAACTTTGATGCCATCATATGCTTGCAAAGCATAAAATCCTGGGTTGCTGTTATCTTCCTCAGGATACTTTGCACGAAATTTTTTCCTGAACTGAGCTTGAAAATCTTGATACTCACTGCTATTTTCTAAGTAATGCATCTTGATTCCTAAAGACCCTCCCATATAGGAGGAAATAACAGATTTATCCACAGAGTCAAGCAAATTAGTTATGCTCTCAGAGATTATCCAAGCTGAATCTTTATCCACAAGTCCCATCTTTGAACTTTCTCTGAACAAATGAGTCACCATTTCTAAGGATGAGTGCAAAACTATGAAAACGCGAGATTGAGTTTGATTTACCAGCTTAATCAGCTCTTCATTGATTAGCTCTCCTGGGTCTGGCAGAAAAGAAATTGGTGGAAGCGCCAAACGGTATTCAATTAGTGAACCAAAGTCTTGAAGAGCCTCAGAAAGGAGAGAGAGCATCCCATAGTCTCCACCAACATAGCCATCTTCCTCATAAACTACTACCACTCTTTGCCAACTAAAAGCATTCACTATATCTGCAATGCATTTTACATGTGCAGTGACATTGTTAGCTAGTCTAACCAGATAAGGCCAGCGTTTTTGCGTCAAAGGTGGGATTATTGCAGGTGATACAAAGGATATGATTGGAACTTGAGCTTGGCTTCCAACTTCAGCCACCAGAGCTGCTTCTTGCCATGAATGCATCCCTATAATTACTTCTACTTTCTGCATCTCAATTAACTCTTCAGCTGCAACCAGGTTTAGCATAATTAAGAGGGAACTGTACAAACTAAACCAGAAGGCTATAGACAAGTTCAAATCCGTTCAGAAATGCCCTAATTTTGTATCTGACACATGGGTTGACTTTCAGTTTGGTCTTCCCAGAAATCATTAATGAAAATAATCATTCAGTCATTACATTGTAGCAATGTTTCCCCGATATCTTATAATTGTTTGAAGTTTGATGGGCATTGTTATGATACTATGTTGACTTTGATTCCAAATTTAAGGTGTGAGTTTACAGTAAAGGCAACCAAATAACACCGAGGTCAGAAAACTATTAGATTCAGCTTTAAAATTTGGGCAGAAACTACAAGCATTTTAATGAGTGAGAAACCAAATTATTAGAAATGGTACTTTAAATGCTGACTTATTTGTCAGGGTTTTTCTCTCGAATAATTTCCTTTGCAAATGCTAGAGATTGCTTACCAAGAGAGGCGACTCTGAAGGCTTCCTTAGAGGCATTTTGGAAATAAAGAGCCAGCTTGTGAGTCTTTGATGTGTTATTGTAGGCTTGAGCTCCAATCTCCATGGCTATTTGCTGTTCTTTACCCATACGAGAGTTAACATCAATAATTGCACCAACACGTATAACTTTACTGTCTCCTTTTGTAGACTCATCTCCATAGACATTAAAGAAAAAGGAAGAGCTGAGCAGAAGAAAGAATAGGCAAAATCTAGGAAGTGCTTCAGGAATAATGAAAGGGTAATTCATCTCCTTTTGGCTGCTGATCTGAAAACAAACGTTTGAGATTGTTGTTTTGTGTACAAGCTTTGAACTATTATTATACACAAAATAATTGCGAGCAGAGCAAGAAATCCATCGATTCTAGAGCGGGCATTGAACTTGGAAATTTGACTTTGTCAAACGAAGAACATGTTGACTTTTCATGCAGTTTATGACGAAGATGCTAGCTAACCAATTATTTGCAGGAATTTTTCGGAAGTTCAAAGATTTTTGGAGACCAAGATTTCTAAATTGAACAAGGATAAGGAAGGGCAAGCAGGAAAGCCGTTTTTCTAGAAATGAAGATAGGACAACTTGTTTCCTTTTTTGGTTTATATGGCTTCAACTGGATGACTCCTCGCAGCCTTAAACGGAAACTTCAGGAACAAGTGTTTACAAATATTGATTATTGATTGAGTCTTTGCATGTGGGTATTATATTGTGCACACGGAAGTTTCTGAGGTGTTTACATAACGATTCTGTTTAATTCTAAATTTTTTTTTGAGACTTCTAATGATAAGGTGTGTGAGGATGATGCAGGCCTTTGTTCTGTCGTTTATTTGGAGTGGAAGCAAATTGATGAAAGAGAATTCTGTGGTGAAGGAAAGATAGAGGACAGGTGTGGGACCAGTGTATTTAAACTTGAACGGGTCAAAAATTCTGTGGGACCAGTGTATTTAAATTCATCATTGAATTTAAGATGTCAAAATATTGGTTTAGGACATACTGAAATTGACTAATTGTGTTGAATTAGTGATAATTAAACGTATGTTTTCAAGATCTTGTTCACTGAAATTATAATACATCAAATAAATATGAATAAATTGCAAATAAATAATTACTTTTGATATTCTAAAGGGTTCAAACTTGGTGATCTCTACTCACACCTCACTTTACTCTTATTAATTGAGCTCACTTCAAATGACATAAATGTTTGATTACTATTCCTCTATTCTTTAATAGAAGATCTAGTATAAATTGAATTACAAAATAAGTTTCATATTAATTAGCAGATATAATGGTTTTTAGGGTGGGAAAGGAGATTGGAGAGGAAGGAAAGTGATTAGAGATGGCAAGTAGTGGTCAGAGGTAATCAAATATGGTCAATAGTGTGTGATGAACAATATTTTATGGATATTTTGCTCCTAATCCATTTATATGGGACACATTATGTGAGACATACAAACCTTAGTTAAGAAACATCTGCCATTCATTATGGATGGGGGATTTTCACACCATTTTTGCATGGTAATGGGAAAAACTGCAATACTTTCTGACTTAAGGATACCAATAGGCATAGATATTTTTACATTTTATCCCTGAAATAATATATATAAATTATGGATTTTTGAGATTTCCAAATGATACTATGATTCAAATATGAAAGAAGTGACAATTTTTGCCTAATATCTTGATGCGCTTTAGCAATGTTTCTTGCTGGTGGGGAGAGAGAGAGCAAGTATTAAATTTATTGAAGTGCTAGTTTTTTTTAACGAGTAACAAATAACTTAGTATACGTTAGAATGTGATTAATTTAAATTAATCCGGGTCAAATTTTAAAATAAGGGCGCATTCATATGGATTTAAATCTAAGACATTGTACTCCTCTGGTCCTTAATATAAAACCCATTTAACTAATTTGATCAGATTAAAGAAGTCAGGTAAGTCAGTTAATTATAAGAAATGTGACACGTTTTTCCTAAAACACCATAATCATCTTTCTTAATGCTTCCTCTCCCTCTTCCACTTGACTATGGTTGAGTGAGTATCCGTAGGGGTAATTTTGAGAAAATTGATAAATATAAGAAATGGGTCTTATATTTAGGATCAAAACTAACTCAATAATTGGGTCTTATATTAAGGACCGGAGGAGTATTTAAATAAAAGCTAGCCTCTTCTATTAAAATTGATGTATGTTGGTTTAAACATAAGTTTAATTTTTTTAGGTATTTCATATATTCCTCTTTAAATTTATTTGTGTTGTTATATCAAGGTGAATCATAGTTAATATTAATAAAAAAATTAATATAAAATATAAAAATGTGGAGAACAAAAACTTCACAAGCAAATAAACACAGTGTGATTCATTTTATGCTTTGGTCAAGCGTAGATGATTTTTTTTTCTTAATTAATTCGTTTTTTAATTTCTTGGATGAATCAAGCGTTTAGATTAATATTGGTGGGGCCAATTAAATGAAGTCTGCTTTTTCACACGGAATGGGAAGTTACTTTATAAGTAGTGTGACAATGTGAATTATGTCAATCAACGTCCTCCAGCAAAATGTCAACGGCAAATTACTTTAGTGACCGCACGATGTCCATTGTCTAACTTTTGTGTGCATATATGTTTAAACGGTATAAAATTTTTTTAAAAAAAGGTTACTTCCTGTTTTTAAGAAAAAATTATAGAATTAATTTAAAATATTTAAAAATTAGTTAAATTTATTATTTATAATAAATGAATGTTGTCTTCTTAAAATGTCTAGTTAATTATGTGTATTATAACAAAATCTCTTTAACATGTGTAATTATTATAGAGGCTATTTTTTAAAAAATAAATAAAAATAAAAAATAAATTAAATTAAGATTTTATATTTAAAAGTAAATTAGCATCTTGCGACGTTTTTGTCAAACGCTTTTTAATTTATTGATTGGGTCTCTCTTTTGATTGTCACAGCATTGGTTACGTGGTTTGCAAGCTTCAGAGTGAATTTATGGTGTGAAGGGGAGAGTGTGGAAGGCATAAAGTCATGAGACGTCATGATTAGTATAATATTTAAATAAAAAATTATTCCGGATCTGTGGATAGTTGAAAAGTCAGTGGTTTAAAATGGGTTTAACTCGGGTTATATTGATTATAATAAAAAAATATTTAAATAAAAAATATCATTCTGAATATTTATATCGAAACTGCATATAATTTAACATAAAGTATAATTACTAAAGTATAAATTTTATGGAGTGTTATTTTTTTTTAGTAATTTTTAAACTTAAAATGATGTTGTTTAAGCTCAATAAAGAGAAGGAAAAAGGATAAAAAAAAATCCCACCAGATCGGCCAATTTCAAAGCTCTTGATAAGTTAGGAGACTGGTTTACTAATTTACTCATCCGAAGGGATTTTATTTTTAAAAGAAAATCACAAAAAAGACCTTAAAAATAGAAAAACTGTAAATAAAGACCCGTTATAATATTAGTATTGGTTTTGACAACAACTGATAAGCAAATAACTATAATTTTTGTGAACATGTCTCTGTATGCAAATTTTCAATTTTGAAGGTTTTTTTATTGCGATTTTCCCTATTTTTAATAATATGGTATTTTCCAAGGTTTTATATGACGAATTCTTATGTTTATTTTCAAAGATTCTGTTGGATTATACAAGATTCTTTGATATACTTCGAAATTTCAATGAAAAGTTGATTGAGGATGACGATGGCTTCATTTCTATGGTCGATTTGTAGTACAGGCGTGGGCCCATTGTGTTTAAAATTGAATGGTTCTAAATGCCCCCCTTGAAATGGACAATTTTTTTGGGACGGATAATTAGCATAATTAAACGTTTGTTTTCCATAGTTTATAGGTTAAAATTATATTACTCCCTCTTATTCATATATTTTTCTTTGCCAGCCCCTCTTATTCAAATATAATGCACGTAAAATCCTAAAGCTATGGAGGATGCTTGGGATAAAGAGGAAATGTTTTGGTGGCAAAAGTCTAGGCTAAATTGGATTAAAGCTGGAGATAGGAACACTAGATTTTTTCACAATGCTGTTATTCAAAGAAGATTGAGGAATAAGGTTCTTAGTCTAAAAGCTGGAGATGGACAATGGACAGAGGATTCAGACTTGATTAATGAGCTCTTTAGTGACTACTACAATGAGATGCTTTCGGCAAAGAATACTAGGCAGGATGAAGAGGAGCTGCAATATGTACAGAAGGTAATTTCAACAGAAGAAAATGAAGCACTAAGCAGGCAAGTAACAGAACAAGAAATTGAAGCTGCTGCTTTTGATCTAGGAGCTACCAAAGCTCCAGAACCGGACGGATACGTTGCTTTATTCTACCAATCAGCTTGGCCTGAGGTTAAAAAAAAGGAGGTTTGTGCTATGGTCTTTGAATTTTTCACTGGTAATACTGATTTGAGGGCTATTAACTTAACTCACATTGTTTTAATTCCCAAAATTGATAACCCAGAAGTTGTTTCTCAGTCTCGTCCTATTATATCTTATAAGATTATTGCGAAAATTCTAACTAAAATGATGAAATTTCTAATGAGTAAGCATATTTCGTGGCAGCAAAGAGCATTCATTTTCAGAAGACTCATTCAAGACAATATTATTATTGCTCATGAAGCTTTCCAATATTTGAAAAGGAAAAAAAAGGGTATAGAAATGACATTGCCTTATCTTAGTAAGGCTTATGATAAAGTTGATTGATCCTTTCTCATGAGAATTATGTTAAAAATGGGTTTTAACATGAAGTGGGTTAACTGGATTTTAGCTTGTATTTCTTCTATTTCTTTTGACCTCTTGGTTTCAAAATAAAAAGTGGCTAGAATTAAGCCTCAAAGACAGGGGATTCCACTTTCTCCTTATCGTTTTGTTCTAGTTATTGATGCTTTATCTCTTATGTTGCAGCACCCCATTAATACTGGTGATTTAAAGGGAGTAAGACTTTCAAGAGGTGGCCCTATCTTTTCACGTTGCTTCTTTGCTGTTGATATTTTGATATTCACAAAGGCTGAGAAAAACAACTGTTTGGTTTTAAAACAAATTTTGAAAACTTTTAGTACTGCCTCTGGTCAAGAAATCAACCTTGATAAATCATGCATCTTCTTTTCCTCTAATGCTTCTAGTGAATTAAGAGGTGAGATTCAAAATATTTTAGAAATTAACAGGTCTATTGAACATGGTAAATATCTTGGCCTCCCTCTTATTTGGCCTAGATCTAAAAGTGCTGCCTTAATTTTGTTAAAGATAAAATTAAAAGGAAGTTTCAAGGTTGAAAGCTAAGACTCCTGACTTTTGCAGTGGAAAGAACATTCAATGGAACAGCTGGCAATTCATCACAAGTGCTAGAAAACACAAGAGGTTTAGGATTCATATAGAAGTCTTCATTCTTTCAAGAAGGCACTATTGGCCAAAACAGCTTGGCGGATTCGTCATAATCCAAATGATCTGTGGCG